AATCCTTCCACAATCCTAGGAATATATACAATTCTATTTTCAGATCTGAACCAGTAACCCCACGTTTTCCAACAGGAATAAATTTCATTTGATAGAAAGTGTGATTGCTTATTACTCATTTACCTGTATAAAGATGAATTGCCAAAATTTCGCCTTAGGAACTTCGCAACAAGTTCAAGAGCTCGGCAAAGTACAGGTATCAAAGCAACTGCCATAAGGCTTAATATTAGAATATACTATGAAAGACCCAATTCAAATTTAAGTACATGCAACCCAATAAGCAAAAATAAATAAAGATAAAACCATTTCAAAACGATCTGGCCAAGTGATGCGCACATTTAATTTGAAGATGGGAGGTCACAAACATAAGGCAGTAGAGAAAGTAGATAAAATCTTTGGTCGTGATCACTAATTGAAACCATACTTGGACAGCCTGCAGATTCCATGCCCTAGGTTTCTGAAAAATGAAAGAAAGAAAGAAAGAACTGATTAATGCAAAAAGATAAAAAGATGAACAAATCAAATAGGGTAGCATGGGTTTCAATGGTAAAGTTACCCCATATAATGAATACAAGGAATACAACGAGGAACATGCTGTGCCTATAAAAGACAAACGATATGCTCTATTGGAGAGATTTTTAGACATAATTGGAAGGACAGCAAGCATGCCAACAACAAAAATCTGCAGAACAACCAATACAAGGTCATTAGTAAATGGAAAAGGAAGTCATGAGCAAAGCAAAAAACACATATCAGTTGCATGTCTTGTCCTGTAAACCCAGAATTGCCATCAGAGTGCCAATGGTTAAAAAAACCTCAATATAGAAACCAATTTATTATGCTAGATTGCTTCAACAGTCCTTGAGTGCCAAGAGAGTTTCTATCGAAACAATAACGATCAAAAAGAAAAATTAAAAAAAAAAAGAACTTTCAACAAAACTGCTTGAGTGCTATTATAGTTTGCTTTGTTTAATCAGATCCAACTTGGATTGGTCCATTTCCCATTTTGTCAACTATACTACATATCATTAACACCTGATCTAGCAAAACCCATTTACCCAAAGTTGGACCTTCAATTTCTCATTCTGTATGCTGCGAAGTAATTACAGTTAGGGGTGGCAATTTCAGACCCGACCTGCTGAACTTGCCCAACCCACCCATTTAAAGTTTCACAATCCCCTTCCGCCTCCACATTTCTCATTTCTATCAACCTAATCAACTTTAAACCTTGAATCAGTGCCATTAGTTCATCCCTTGATGAAATAACTGAGGAAGATATTACCACTGTGATCCCTTATTACTTCCCCCCAATACCCAACTCCCCTGGGTTTCCATGACAGCACCCATCAAGTTAAATTTGAGTTTCCCAAATGTTGGTTCCATTAAGCTACATGTTGATGTCTTCTAACTTGGAAGCCAGCAATAACCTGCCAACCTCTTAATATGTCATTTAAAGAAACTCCTTTGAACACATCACATATAGCAGCCCAATGAGCTACTCTTTATCAATGTGCGCTCAATCAACTCCTCCACTCTCTTTTATTTTTCCTTGAAAATTCTAGCATTTCTTTTACACAAATTCCCTGTAGAATCACTTCATACGCATTGCCATAGAATCTTTTGCCTCCGTGTTTACATCAGTTCTGGAAGGGTACGCTTTCCAACATTTAGCCAAGTTTACTTGAAACCTTCAAAAGTTTAGTTTATGCATAAATAAAGAACAATGGCTAACAAGAAAGATGGAAGTAAATTTAAGTTGGTATAAGCGTGGTTCTAATTCCTTTGCAGATGCCTTAGCCAAACAAGGGGTGGGGCAAGAGACTCTGTTCTGGGCACAACTGTAAGATAGGGGTCTTGTAATGGGGAGAGATAAGTGATTTTATCTCTTCTTGACTCTGCATCGTATCATAACTCTTTGTATTATTCTACCTTCTTTAAAAAATAAAGAACCATGGCAATTCAGGACAAAACTACAATTTTTTATAATTTTTGTAGTGAGAAAAAGAAAACCTGAAATTTGTTTTACTATTTCCCTTCCTAATTGCTTAGGATATCAAACACCAAGTTCATACATAATACCTACATTTCTATCATCTCTCAGCCTCTCCTGATAACACAATTTGATCACAAGTTTGAACTTCAGAGATAAATACTCTACTGGACCCAACAAAGTTCTATCCCCTGATGCACAATCCTATTTTGTAATTTCCACTCTATAAAGCAACATATCCAACGTCAAATCATGAATACTATAAAAGAAACCATATGCAAACAAAAATTTTATATCTGGTATTATTTGAGCCTGATAAAACTCATTAAGGGTCCATTTGATGACAGCTAAAGTGGCTGAACTGAATGGCTTATTGCTTTGTCTTTTAGTGGATCAAATAATTAAATAATAAAATATTCAAAAGCAGAATAATTAACCCAATTTCAGCTTGAGATGAAGGAATTCACAAGGGGTATGTGTGTGTGTGTGTGTGTGTGTGTGGATGCAGTTTGCCAGTTTCACATGCTTATACAGATTATTAAAAAGAAAACAAACTATTTTGGTTGCAATTTCATATATGAAAGCTAAGGCATGAAAACATGCATAGTTGTACATTTGTACAGATATTTGTGTGCATGCACATGCAAATTGTCCATTTTTTTGTACCCAAGCATTCACTGAAAACTGTATGGTTTGTTGGTCCAAGCGCAGAAAAGTCGAGTTCATGTTTGGTGTTGCTGAAGCCCTTGATGTTCTGGAAGTTGACCCTACACCAAAATTTTGGGTTAAAAATAAGTTAAAATGAATGCAAACGAAAAGAAAGAAGAAAGTGTTATGGGTATCTTCTTTTGGCACTGCCATTCATGTAGTTCTTTTGTTAGATGCAGAGTAGAAACAGTGCCTTAACAGCAGCTACAACTTCTTGCTACCTGAGCTCCATGGTCGTGCCTGTTCATTTGTAGATGAGGCTGAGGATTGTGCAGATGATCTTGCTGACTGAGAAGAGTTTGTTGAAGAAATTGTCTCAACCACAAAATCAGGATCCTACTCATGTGACAGAACAAACAAGGAAGAACTAATAGTTAGAAAACATGTTATTTCTACACGACTTTGGAAATTCATAATAACAACCAAAAGGAGATAGATAGATAGATAGAGAGAGAGAGAGAGAGATTTCAAATATTAACATTTTTTTTAAATATCAGAATGCACATAGTACCCAATCTATGACACCCAGATACCTGTACAAGGGTGCCATATTGTGTCAGATACTTCAACTTCTAGTGTAAATTTCATATCCAATACCATATCCAACCATGCCCTTGCCGTATCTGGGTAACATAACACCGAAACTTCTAAGCATTCTATACTTAAGCAATAGGATTACAATTCAGTACCAATGAATCAATGATCAATTTGTCCTGTGCTTTAGAGATACAATGGTAATTTTCCCTTGCTTTGGACCTTAAATGTACAAATAATAAGGTTATATACAACTTGTTTTTCTTATTTTCTTATTTATATTTTTATCTTGTATTTTGGAGTGGGAGTTGTTCTTTTAAGAAGCTAAGGAGTTATTTATTTGTTAGGGGCTGTGGTATTAGGGGATTTTCCTTTCATTTGTCTCAGACTCCCAGTGATATCTGTGATGCAGCTTGGGATCAGTTATGGAATGTGAAGGCAATATTGAGACAGTTTGAGGTGGTAACAGGTCTGCGAATTAACATCTTGAAGAGTGAATTGATGGCTGTTGGGGAAGTGACAAACCTGAAACTACCCTCCAAATATTTGGGCATGCCTTTGGGGGAAAACTGCAAATCAAAGGCCATCTGGGAACCCATACTGGAGAGTAGATAGAAAATTAACATCTTGGAAGACCAAGTACTTGTCCAAAGGAGGAAAAGCCACTCTAATTAAAAGTGTGTTGTCATCCCTTCCTGTATTCCATTTATCTTTATTTCCAACCCCAGCCAAGTGGGCGGCAGTGTTGGAAAAGAGAATGAGAAACTTTTTGTGGAGAGGATGGAAGGAGGAATCAAAATGTCACTTGGTAAACTGGAAGAAAATCTGTAGCTCTAAAGAAAATGGGGGCCTTGGGATCAGATCAGTGAGAGATGTGAACATCGCTTGGAAAAATAGCTATGGAGATTCAATGTGCAGTCAAACAGCTTGTAGAGAAGGATAGGTGTGGCTAAATATGGGTCTAGTAGGGAGTGGGAGACAGAAGAGGTTAGATCAGCATACGGTTGTTCAAACTGGAAGGCAATTCAGAAAGTACAACATCAGTTTCTGAAGGGCATCAAGTATAAAGTGGGAAATGACCAGAGGGTTCTGTTCTGGAAGGATCTCTGGTGTGAAGAAGGACCTTTAATGACTTTCTTTCCTGATTTGTTTGAAATAGCCACAAATAAGAATGCTACTGTAGCTGAGTATTTGGAAAGACAGAATGGACACTGCATATGGAACCCCCAATTCAGAAGGAACCTGAACGACTGGGAGGTGCCGTCACTGATCAGCTTGCTGCAGATTCTATATGATTCAGAAACGTCTGGTCCAGGGGAAGAAAAAAGATTGTGGAAGTTAGAGAAGTCGGGTAGCTTTTCTGTAAGATCCTTTTTTCAAATCTGTAGCAAGGGAGGAGACCACACCATTTCCAAGTGACAGGATTTGGATTAAAGCTGTTCCTTCTAAACTGGCCTTCTTTGTCTGGTCAGCAATGCTGGACAAGATTCTAACAAAGCAAAATCTAGTCAGACGAGGTCTAGAGGTGGCAGATTTGGATTGCCTCTCATGCAATGGTAATGTGGAGTCTTTTGGTCACTTACTGATTCAATGTGAATTTACTCATTGGATCTGGTTAAGGGTAGTAGGTGCATTTGATGTAAAATGGTGCTTCCCAGCTGAAGTGAAGGGTTTCATTGAGGCATGGCATCTAGAAGGTTTAAGTAGAGCTGGAAAGGTAGCATGGAGCATACTTCCTTCAGCAGTGTTATGGGCTGTGTGGAGTGAAAGAAACAGGAGACTGTTTGAAGGGACTCAGGCTTCAAAGGAAGAAATCCTATGTAAAATTCTGAGGATGGCTCATTCTTGGTTGGAAGTTCACCCTTTGTTTAGAAATAGACATCCTAGTTCTTTCTAGGATTCGTTTTTTTTTTTTTTTGTAAGGAAAAGTTAGTTGTTTTTTGGGTTTTTGGCTGTAGGGAGCAAATTGTATATGCTCTGTTCAGTTTCTCATTGTAAGGGGTTCATTGTTGGCTTTTTGATTGAATGAAATACTTTACATTACAGTTCAAAAAAAATTCTTGTCACTTGGGATTGTAGTTATACTTCCTCTTCTTTTCTATTTGATAAAAAATTTAATTTACTATAAAAAAAAATAAGGTGATATAAACCATCATCTGCTGGTCCAAGCAATCCAGGACCTCGGGAAGGTTGGACTGGATTAGGACCTAACCTTCGTGATTTTTGGCACAAAGTGGTCACTCTCAGACTCAAAACCCTTATTCCAACACTTGTCAGCCCTAGATAAAAAAGCGATAATCAAAATAACATAGTTTCAATAATTTACCATACACTGGATAAGTAAGAAGCAATAATCCTGGCATTGAAAGTGATATACAAGTTGGATTGAAACCCTACAAGTTTCAGGAGGTTTTTAGAGGTCCAAAAGCAATGCCCAAACGGAAACAACCAAATGAAATATCTGACTTATCCATTATCCAAAGAATTTGATTTACATTGCCAATAAAATTCTACACTATAGAAATGCAAGTTCTGAAATTAAAAGAAGAAAAGACAAGATGGACGGATAGAATTCTTGTGGTATAGTTCTATTTCAATGACAAAAGAGATAACCCAGAACAACAGAAACGATAACCAGCAATTCATACGGAGGAAAGAAACAAAAGCTTATACTAGCAATCAGCGAAACCCATATTAAGTAAATAAAAGAACATAAAGTAACCAGAATCTCCATAATTCGATTAAGTATCTAATCAAAGATCCTATTTCTAGAAACTGAAAACAAAACGGAAAATGAAATCCCATAAACCAAGATGAGTTTAGTAGTCTTCAGTTCTAATTCCATTAGAAGCATTCAAATCAAGAAAGAAGAAAATGCATAGAGTAAAACAAGGAAATGGGTGCTTTATACTAACAATGTAACGCTGGTAGAACTTGCGCTTGAAGTGATCGACTACGTCAGACCGAGCTGCCATCTGGGGAGGAATAAGTATGTTGGACCAGTAATCCGCCCATCGTGGGTCGTTCTCGTAGTCATATGAGACCGCTGCAATCCTCTTTGAGCGCTGTGGATCTTCCCCCATTACTCTGGGCGCGTGTGCGGCTCTCGTTATTCTCTCTCTCTCTCTCTCTCTCTATTTCTCCCTCTCTATGTGTCTGTGTGACTGTGTTGATAAAAAGTAAAAAAGAGAACGACCTTCGAGTCTCCGACGGCTTCCTTTGTTTCTTTCTGCTTCGGAAGTCTCTCTGTGTCTGACAGTCTAGGCACCTTAAGGAATTAATCAACGGTAGTTAACTGTTGGAAGTTAATTAATGTTCTACTCCTGAGACACCAAATCTAACCGATCGGAGGGTAGAGTCGGGTAGAGGTGAACCCGAACCCATCAACCCAACCGGATTTGTTGAACCCTCAAGCCTATCCTTTCTTTCTTGGATTGAGTTATGAACATATTAATACATATAATTGCATATATTTCAGGTTCAACTTGTTAAGGCTTCAACCAACCCAGTCCGAAATTAAGTTAGGTTTATATTTCTTAACCTTCAACCCAATCCAACCCAACTTGAATTTTTTTTCAACTTTTGGACTGGGGCCAATCCGGCCCAATTTGCACTGGTGTGGCTTGTGCGGAATCTTCCGAGTTATGTATCAAAAATAAAACGACCCATATGGTGTAATCATCTTCTCCAGTGCCGAAAAGTCTACTACTAAAAAAAAGTTGATTTGTGGCTTAATATAAAGGGTAAAAAGACTTAAACTTCCCCCCGAGATTTCTCTTAAATACTGAAACATCACTTTTCTTTTTAAATTGAACTAATACCTCTCCTATAAGGTGATGTCATCAGACAAGAACCTCTCCTCCTTTAACACTCCATCATCCAGATCCCTTTCGAACAAGACCATATATCGCAGTTATTTTTTTTTTAAACCTAATTTTTCCCTTTACTGTTTTACTACCTTTTTACCTGTTATCAAAGCCAACCTCGAAGTTTTGTTTTGGACCTTTTGGTAGAAGGGCAAATCTCTTAGTATATCTTTGACATCGATGTATATACAATACGGTAGTGCTGATGTGTGGGTTGGAAGTATTGTTTTTTAAAATAATGGTGTTTTTTATTTTTCTTTTTTTTTGTTTAGAAATGTTGCTAAAATGTTTTCTGGAGCAACAACAATGTTTTCTATTTGGTATCAATGCTCCAGGAAACATTTTCAGCAATAGTACCTATTATCCAGTGTCATGTCATGTCTCTATCACTGCCACCTCATATTTCCTGTTGGTAGCAACCAGCTGCAATTCCCCTCGGGAAGGCATGGATTGGAGCACTGTTTTTTATGAAAAACAGTACCAAACAGGTAGGCATTTCTTTGAGCATTGTTTTTTCTGATGTGTTATTGTTTTCTGAAGCAACGACATTGATGCCAAACAGATGCTTAAACTACCTTTGTTAATTAACTAACTCTACCCTTATTATTTAACTATTAACTTTCCACAAGCAAACTTTCTCCGTTCAAAGGGGTGCAACTTAGATGGGCTCAGATTGGAGTTTTGTCAAATTTTAAATGAGCCCGGCCCAAAGCCCTAACTCGAAGCAATGTAAAATGCTAACTCAGGCCAACCCGAGTTGCACCCTATTCAAAAGCCTTCCATTCCTCAAGGGCCATTACTTGGTGTATTGGTAAAATCCCCGGATCAAAGGTAAGGGCTGTGTCCAATATATTCCTTCCAAGACCCTAAATAGCTGGAACCAACATTGGGTAATAGCCATTTTAGATCTCCAAACTCTCTAAGTACCCCATCACTAGAATTCTTGGAGAGGGATTAAAGAGTACATTAACGGCAACATAAACCACAAGACACCCTGCACCCAACATATTTGCATCCTCCATGGCACTGAAAGATGGCTTGAAGCATGGAGGAGATGCAGATGAAGGGAATTGGTTAGTAATCCTTTCTTCTCGCAAGAGGAATTAGATAGGGGTGAAGAGACTTGTCGCATTGTCTTGAACTTGCCTCAACTTATCATATAGGCTTCTTTTCTCATTAAAAATTGAAACTCTACTCTTCATTTAGAACTACAAAAGGTCTGTAATGGGGGTTTACATCTCTCTCTCTCTCTCTCATGTTCATGATGATAATACATTGACCAGACTATCTCTCACCCCATGGAGCTGGAAAAAAAAAAAAAGCAGTCTCTAGAAAACAAATGGTAGATTGGAGTCATTGTTTGCATGATGGGCGTTGAGCAGCACGGGACATCAATTCAGTAAGCTTTGAATTGGTAAGAGTAAAACGTGTTTCATCATTATCATCTTCTTGCGATTCCTCATTTCTTCCTCTTGACAATGAGCCATGCATCTTCAATTTATCTTCAAGATCAATGACTTCATCTAATCTTCTTATCACTCTTTCAAAGCAGAGATATCGCCCACCAGCTCCATTATCCATAGCTTCATAAACATGGATGTGTGCCTCTGCCACCTTTTGAGCATCTATAGTTGCTAAGATCCCTTGTTGCCACATAATGCTCCCACCTACATGCATTTGTTATTAAAATTCAGAACTAAAGGGTTTACCAGCACCAAAATATACTTGTTAGTAGCATTTGTTGTTTCTAAGTTCCAACATTGGGTAATAGTGGTTTTTTTTGCATTGATATGAACTTCAGTAGCTTAAGATGGTTTACCTTTAAGATAGGGTACAGAGGTTTCCATGTGAGCATTTGGAAATGTTGGATCCATGAGAAGGCCAGGGCACACAGCAACAAGATTCACTTTCAGCTCTTTGGACTTCCTCCAGGCAACCTTCTCTGCTGTTGTCTTCCCCAAGGCAAGCCAAAGCTGTTCCCCAATAACACAAAGAGACTGTGTTATAATAATTCATGACTAGAACACTCACAACCCCTTTGATCACATTATAGAGAAAAGACTGGTCTCTGATGTTAAATTGATTGTTTTGCCTAAAAAATGGATAGATCCCTTCCGTTGGTTGAATATGAGGAAAATAGCAAGAGCTGTGAATCTGTGATGCCATGCCATGTCTGAAAATTGAATTTGATACCTTGTTTTCTCTGCAGAATTCCTCATTACTCCAACAACTCTCATCAACTGGCCCTTGAGCTCCATCGCCCAGCCAGATTGAGGCAAGCAGAGAAGAAGTGAAAATGCATCTTTTCACATATGCTGCTCTCCCACAAGCTTCAATAACATTCTTTGCTCCTTCAGTCTCAAGAAAAGCCATTCTGTCCTGCAATTGAGACCAAACGCTTCTTTCTGAGATATAGGCAACTTCGTTCAGCTTCCAATATAAAGAAAAGAAAACAAAATTAATTGGGATTTCTTTCTAAGGGTCCATTTGGTTTGCAGTGGGAATTGGAATCAAACTCAGAATGGTTTATTCTCATAGTCTGTTGGTTGAGACAGGAATTGGAAGAAGAGTTGAAATAAATTGAAATGGGATTTCATTCCCAAGGGAGGGGAGGGAATGACCATTCCCTCAAATAGGAAAATGCCATTTCAGTAGGAATGAGAATAAGATTCAATTCCGCCCAACTAAACAGTTGGAATTGGAATAACCCATCCTAATTCCAATTCCGGACCCCGATTCCCATGAACCAAATGGGTCCTAAGAGTTATCTATATTCTATAATTAGATAATGCAATTTCCCAAGCATATTTGCATGAAACAGAATTGTCTGAAGGCCGGAGAGGCCATTGGTTCCAAGAATTAAAAAAAAAAAAAAAAAAACTCAGTCAAATAAATGCATATTTAATTCGTTTTAAAAATACAACGATTTTGAAGATTGAGAATAATGACTGAAGAACTCCAGTCTGAGAAAATTCCAATCGCATTCTCCTTGAAACAAATGGAGCTAATGCTCCGTTTGGGAAGAGTGTTCCAAACTGATTTTAAACAAAAGTTGGATGAGGCAATTAGTTGCTTTCTGATTTCTGGAGAACAGGTCTGAAGATCAATTGCCCATCCTAGCGAATATAAAAGTGCATCTATATCTATACCATATACCATATGAGGTGGATATTTGCCTTCGTTTCTGTGCAGACCATGAAAAGTTAAATGGCATATTTACTAGCATCTTATTACATAAGAGCTACTTGTAATGTCTTGTTTCCTCTGATTTCTGATTGATTTGTTACTTAGTATTTATCCCATGAGAAATGCCATGCTTGACCCAAAATCAGAGGTGCCAAGCTCTGGCTTATTTGGAAACTTATCCTTATTGATGTTTTATATGTTTTGTTATCCAAACCAATTATTTTAGTTGTTTCTCATTTATTGATTTGAAATTATCTTGATTTTTTTTTTTTTGTGAGCATTTATTTCTCCTTTCTACAAACCCCATATAAGAGATTAAGAGAGTATTAATTAGACACCTCATTTCTGAATAGGTTGATTATCAAGTCTTGCCTTTTTAAAATATTTAGATAAATTGTACTTGAAAAAAAAGCATTTACATTAGCGAATACCCCCCATATTTGTGCAAAGAGTGTGTAATTGACATTACCAAAATTTTGTAATAAAAGTTGTTAAGAAAATGGTTTTCAATACTGGTATCAAATCACTATTTGGTTACCTAGCCATCTAAAAAAATACAAGTTTTCCGGTATCATGTAATTGTATAATAAGATAATTATGATTGACCCAGTTTTTAAATCCACATCTGAAAAGACTAACTAATACGTTAGTTGGGTAATGGTATGACACTAGTGTTAGGTTTGTAATTGTTTGACAATTTGTTGTGTGCAACGTTAATTTGTCAAGCAGTCCAACAACGTTAATTTGGTGATTCGAGTCCGGATGCCAACCACGACACCATTTTGTGCCACCTGTTCTTAACGCAACGGGATTTAGTGATTTACTACCCACATCTGAATGGGACACGTTCCATACTTCCATATACATAGTTGTAGTGTCTAGTGGTTAAGGCGTGGGTAGGTTGTGGATAGTAGATCCGGAGTCGATTCATACTCAACATATATAATTAGTATACACAACTGCATTTTCTCGTGTTAAGTACAGGTGGCACAAAATTGTGACGTGGCCAGTTTCATTTTGTCATAACTATCAATTGGGACTGTAGTGAGTCTCCCATGCCAGAATATGAAAAGTACCTGTTGGTTTCATAAAATTGGTCAAATTTTTAATGTCCCAACAGAGCGCGCTACAACCCAATGAAGATTCAAGGGAATCATGGTAAGCCCAGCCCTTGTAAAATATGAATAAATGATGTAATTTACGTGATTAGTTTACATTTTCATTTAATATACAGAAAATATTAGAAAATGCACCGTAATTAAACTCTAAAACTTAAGCATCCCTGGCTCCCTGCTACTGCTACTGCTAGACACCCGGCCTCTCCAATCCGAGGAGTGAAATCCACGCCCCGACCCTAATTTTGATATTATAAATAAATAAATATATATATATATATATATATATATATTTATTTAATATTATTTGTATTATTTTAAATATTATTTATATCTAGACCTGTTCATGGGCCAGGTAGCCCAATGGGTCGGGCCGGGCTTGTACATGAACTTTAGCCCGTGGGTTTGACCTTGGGCCAAAAAGCCCGAGCCCGACTATTTTACGGGCCGGGCTCGGGATTTGTCACAAAAGCCCGGCCCGACCTGACATTTTGTATTTTATTGTAAACCCTAGCCGATTAACCTTTCCTATTCCCTCTTTTCATCTTTTATCTTTCTCTCTTCATTCTCACTCTCAATAACCGGCACGAATCCAAGCAAGCAGCCATTGTTCTCAGTCTCAAAGGTGACAGGCAAGCTCAGGCACCGGTAGACTCAGGCATCGGTCGTCTCTCTCTCTCTCTCTCTCTCTCTCTCTCACAGTTCTCACTCGCACGCATTCACATATTCTTAGGATTCAGGAACCGGCAAACTCAGGCACTGGCGCCACTAGTGAACTCAGTCGCCCCTCTCTCCGGCGATGAATCTTCTCTCTCTCTCTCTCTCTCCACCAGTCCTCTCTCTCTTGTCTCTCTCGCAGTTTTTCATTCTCATGCATTGTTGCATATTCTCAGGAACCAGTGAACTCAAGCATCGGCGATGGCGAACTCAGGCATCGGCGCCAGCCGCACCACTGGTGAACTCAGTCACCCTGCATTTCAGCCTCTGTTAGGTCGGGCTTCGGACTTTTTATGAGGGCTGACTCGGGCCTGGAAAAATCTTGTTAATGAAGAGCAAAAGCCCGGCCCGACCCATGAACAGCTCTATTTATATCTTAATATTTTTCATTTATTTTAAATAAATATTAAAAAATCTTTTAATTAAAATTTTGAAGATTCGGGTCCGGGGAACCCGGAGACTGGATATGGATACTATGTTCCCGAGATGGGATGGGTGGGGGACTAGGGGACGGGGGATTAATTTAAAAGTCGGGATGGTGCCCGACTCCGAACCCGCCCCGTTGTCATTGCTGGTAAAACCAGACCGTTTAAGGAAAGAAAGAATTCACCCGTAAGCGTTGATTGTTACGGCACGTTAGGAATTAAAGGAAGAAGAAGCCTTGCTATATATATAATGGCTGGACCCCACTGCTACAATTACAATAGTGCAGAAATGAAAATGGAAATTAATTATGGAAGAAGAGGAAGAACTAACCGAATATCCAGAGACACCAGCAGGATCGATGAAAGATGAAGTGTGGAAGACTGCATGACAACCTCTGAAGGCTTCACACAGACTCTGCAAATCTCCCATCTTCACCACCACCACACTCTCCAGCCCTCTCATCATCTCTTCCTCTTTTATTTGCTCTCTCACCTCCTCCACTTCCACTGTCCAGCAAGAACAACCCAAATTCAATTCAACATAAGCTAATTAAGTAGTAATTAACAGATATATATGGGAGAGGGAGAGGGAGACCTTGATTTTGAACGGTGGCCCGAACCAGATAACCACGAGCCAAGAGCTGCTTGAGGATGAGAGAGGCCAAGAAAGAATTGGCGCTTGTGACACAGATGAGCTTCCTCTCGCTTGTGCTCAAAGTACACGAAAACCAAGTGGCTGTGAGAGCGCATGGTTTTTGTCTGAAAGGTGTGAAGAGGGGAGCCTCCGCCTCCGGAATGACGATCTCGCCTCTGCAACCTCTGTCCATCGTTTCGTCGTCTTTGTCTATCTGTGTATTGTAGTCAACTATTGTGTTGAGACTAGAGGATGTGTATTTGAGAGCGAGCCACTCACTCATAAATCATGACCGGTGAATGGGTGGATGATACGCTTTTGAGTTGAGGCACGTGAGAGGGGGTTAGGTACAGATCAAAGCGCGCAAAAAGAGGTAGTTGGCTTGTTTACACTCTCTGTTTCTCAGTTTCATTGTATCTACGAGTCAAAACCCACACCACATCCACAAGTCCTTGTCCCAATCCCAAATTTGTGGGTCAAGATGGTTGCCACTTGCCATGAACCACTCACCTTGGAGTCTTCGACACCATTATAAGATACATCCAGAGCACCAAATCAGATCCACTTATACAGCACGGCATCCAGTCGCACATCACATCGGAAATATCTCCGTCACCCCCTTGATTTAAAGCATAATACAGGAGGAGGTGCAGTGTATTTATACGGAGACCGGATTTGCTCCTCACACCTGGCGCCTCACAGGCGCATCCTATCAAGCGAACATCTCCCGTATTTATTATTTATAATTCACGGGAGATGTTCTCAATACACGGTGCATGTGCTTGTGAGGCGCCCATTTGTGAGGAGCAGATCCCATCATATTTATACGCTGCCCTTTTTTGCGAGCTCCTCACACAGGGCGCCTCACATCAACCTCCAAGGTGAGTGAGATTCGAAGCAAGATCTGCTCTTCACAAATGGGTGCCTCACAGGTACATTCACCGTGCATTGGGAATATCTTCTATAAATAATAATTAATAAGTATGGGAGATGTTCCCAATGCATGATAGGATGTGCATGTGAGACATCTGTGAGGCGCCAGGTGTGTGGAGCAGATCCAATCTCGAGTGATTCGGCGGTTGCGCCCAATCATCTTAGGGCATTTTTTATGGATAAAATACTAATTTTCAAAATGCATTATGTAAATTATTGTATACTCGGTACTCTCCATGGTCAAATTTTGCCCTCCTATTATTCTTCACCATTTCTAACCACCGAACCCCATAATAATTTAGACGTGTAAAATAGGTTGTGTTGGGCCAAGCCGTAATTTCCTCTCTTAAGATATTTTGGAAGGTTGGTCTAACATGGCCCACGGCCTAAGTCTGTGTAGGCTTGTGTTAGGTCGGGCTAAGCCACAAGCTGGGCTAGTTCATGGATCGAGCCTTGGGCCAATATGGGCTGTGAACTAGGCCAAAGTTATTTATTTAAAAAAGTTGAACAAAAAATAAAATTTTAATTTTATATGAATTTTGATATACAATTATTTATATAGACAATAATTAAATAAAATTGTAAAAAATATTTATTTTATTAATATATTATATATTATACAATTATAGTTTATATAATATATAATATATTGTATACGGAAAAGTATGAACAAGCCCAATGCAGATTTCTGATTTCCATTGTAGAGCTATAAACATTCAAAATGGCCCCACATTCTATGCATCAACGCCCGGCTCGTGAATTGGAATCAATTCTGAGCTAGCACCTACTTCAATAGTACTTTGTGCCTATAAATTCTGACCCTGGGCTGAACTGTCTTTCTATATAAATATATAACTATTATAAATGTATATAAAATATATATGGGTTGTGTCAACCCATAGGCCATGAGCAGTTGTTGTGTCGTGCCGGCCCAGCCCACTGGCTTGAAACCCCGAGCCTGGCACAATCCATCGGCCATACAATCGTGTCGAGCTGTGGCACAACCCATGGACCATCGGGCCAAGCCGGCTTGAAATCGTGCTGGGTTGTAGGTAGCACGACCCAATTTACACCTCTACCCCATATCCATCATCATCTTCTTCTCTCTCTTTCTCACACAATAGAGAGAGAGTTCAAGAATGAAGGTGTATATAAGACTTTCAAGCATGGTTTTCAAAACCAGACCGGAATGGACGGTCGAACTGGAAAAACCGAGAACCGATCGAGTTCCATTTTACCCCATAATCGTTATTTTCGCCAAAAACCATTGATTTGGTCAGCAAACCACTGACCAGGGTGGTCAAACTGTTCAAACCATCCAATGGTTTTGGTCGTTTTTATTTTTTTTGTTAGAACGGGTTGTCCGTTCAGTTCGAACAGTTGGACCGTTCGACTTAGGAACCAGACCCCGGACCGGTTCGTTGTCTAGTTCGATTTTAAAAAAACCTTGCTTTCAAGCATGGACGAAGCTAGAATTTTTTATGAGGCGTGGCCGGGGGGGGGTATACTTGGGCCATAGGGGGAGTTCACATCTGCGTCTACATGCACATCTCATCATGCATTGGGAACATTTCCCATACTAGTCATTGACAGATGTTCCCAATACACGGTTGGGGTGTGTTGTGGGGCGCAAATGTGAATTCATAGCGCTGCTTTCAAGGAAAACAAGTTCAATAATGGAAGGTATATGAAGAGTTCACATCTGTGCCCCACAACGTCCCACAACGTCCCACAACACATCCCCGCCATGAATTAGGAACATCTCCTAATGATGACATCATCAGCTCTGGTACTATCACCGGGAGATGTTTCCAATACAAAGCAGGATGTGCTGTGGGATGTTGTGGGCTGTGGGGCACAGATCTGAATTTGTGTATGAAAGATTTTCAAGGAAGACATCTCCTTTTTGCTCGTTGGGTCATCCTACTTAGGGCTATCAAGGGTTGTAAAGGTTTTCCCACCTTTCCCTTCCTTTCCCTGCATCTTCCTTCAAATCAAACATAACCTTAATGCAAAATCTAACGAATGTCCTATTGTGAGCCTCACATTACCTTTGTATCATGTCAACCCTCTAGGGCACCACAAATATCATAAAAACTATTATTTTTCCACATCACCCCTATTGGCAATAGGATCCTCGACCTATGCACCTGTCTAAGATGGAGACATCGTGGCGTCCCAAACCTATAAACCACTTCTTCATGTAAAAATAGGGGTGTTCATTATATGGTTTAAACCATAAAACCGAACTGAATCAAACTGAATTTGTGGTTTTGTTCGGTTTGGTTTATTGGATTTCATAAACCCAGCCAAACCATAAATCGTAAATCAAAATTATATACATATATATAATGTAAATGTATAAATATAATATGAATATATGATGTATAAATATTATATATAATATAATATATATAAATTGAATACATAAAATTATAAATATATAATAAACTCTTTATTTTACAGTAAAAATAATAAAATAAAATTTTTAAGCTTTAGTTTTTAGAGAAGTTATTTGGGCATTCTATTTAATTTTTAGAGAAGTTATTTGGGCATTCTAATTGGATTAAGCCCAATAGAATCATAGAATGGTCCAAGTCCCCAAACCGTAATAAAATGTTTTGGTCTGGTTTAATTTCTATACCAAAATGGTTTAATTCGGTTTAAAAATTTCTCAAGTCGTAATTTACCGATTTGGTTTGAGATCTTCTTAAAATCGCACCAAATTGGACCGTGAGTACCTCTATGTGAAAAGATAGTCGGGTAAATGCAACCTTACCAGCAAAAATAGAAAATCTGCCTTGAGCTTATTGGGTAATTAGGTCTATGATGCGTAGGCCTACGCAGCCCAAGTATATGGGATACGAGCCCAAGCCACTAGGTTGAATTAGACCCCCTAGACCAAAGGTTGCAAGCTGATGTGGGTCACTTCGTTGAAGATTCCAAGTCAAAGAAGAACTAGACCTATATTACTACAATACTACATCTAAATAAGTAAAAATGTCCCAAACTATTGAGTTCTAAGGGTTTGTGCCAATTCCCTTTTGCCTTTTTGAAAATTTGGTTGTACATGTGGCTAGTGCGCCAAAAACATTCTTGACAATCCCTCATTAATAATGCCTAATTCGTTTTTCTCAAGTTATTTATCCACGTAAATGCATTTATTTGGGTAAATATTTCTTGAAAAACACTTATCCGGGTAAGTACATTTATCTATATTCTTTTATTTTCTAAGTAGATAGGACAATGACCATTTTTGTCTCACCAATATTGACAATTTCCCATTAGCCAATTTAGTATATGATGACATGGCTTGATTCACTTGACCAACTTAGTACTAATTAGATGCAAACATAGATGTACTCAATTTTTGAAAGGGACTGTAATCTTTGGGAGTTCGAGAACTGGCCTGGAGGAAATGGTTATGCCTAGATGCAGTTTGGAGGTTTGCTATTTTCCAAGTCAATGGCTATTGTTGGGTCCACACCACATTCCTGGTCCTGGGGTACATTAATGCTTGAAGCTGTGATCGACGACTGGGTCAGAGTTCTAGGACTACAATATTTGATATTGTCAATGCAAGATGGTTGTGAAATTTTAAAAAATAATGAAAGATAAAATAAACATTTGTGCACTTCCATATTTCTATACTTTATTTTATGGGGAAATATTCCCAATGCAAGATGGTTGTTTGAACGGGCTTTGCACTGACTGGATCCCAGTTCCTTCCATATAGAGATAATGGCAAGGTCATCGTATTCTTAGAAACATGGAGGGATATGTGGTGCATTTTAATTTGCAAAGCCCAAGGGTACTTTGAGTATTTATTCCTTTTTATAAACATTAATTAGGAAAACTTATCTGTACAATTGCTTGATTTAATGATAAAATCTTAGTATAATTTGAATGAATCTTACCCGAACCCGACCCATGAACAGGTAGGTATATATTCGTGAAACAGGACAGTTGTAATTCAATATCCCATTTTATTTAGCTAGTCAGGTCGGGTTTGGATTGGAGTGGGTTCGAGTCAGATATGGGTCAAGTGAAATCCTACTGAATCCGATCTATTGACATCCTAGTACATCCTAGTAGCAAGGAAATAACTTTCCCCCGATTTTTCAAAAGCATCTATTTTTGTGAAGAAGAAACCATTTATTTCCCTTTATTTTATACAGAATTATCGTCTATATACGAGGCCAAGTAAACCAAATATTGGCTGAATCCCGAAGGCCGCATAGTTGACTTAATAATAGATTTGGAATGGCAGCTCAGGTGGTGGTTAAAATATCAAGGCTCCATGTGTTTGTTCTATGATTCGCCCTCTTTTGAGCGCAACTTTTTGTTTGTAGCTTATTGCCAGGTGGCAATACAATTATACAAGCCTTCTTTAATAGTTTAAAGCAATAATTATTTATATATACCTTGTGTATAAATACAAGTACTTGATCTTAGGGGTGGATTTGAGCCAAGTCAAATCGAATAGTATGAGGCTCGAGCTCGGCTCGCCAAGTTTGTATAAAGCTCAAGCTTGAGAGCTTGGTTCGAGCTAGAACATTGAGCTCGAGCTAGAGTTCGATTTGAGCTAGAACATTGAACTCGAGCTCGGCTCGAATAAAAAATTCATAAGCTCGAGCTCGATTTGAAAAAAAATATTTTATAAAAACAAAAAATTATATATAAAAAACATTTTTATTTGATATTTAAAGAATTAAGAATTATAATAATTAATAATTATAATCGAGCTTATAAATTGGGCTTGAGCTCAACTCGAAGCTCAGTTGAAACCGAGTTGAGCCGAGCTCAAGTAGCTCATGGCCACCCCTACTTGATATGTGGTTGCCCGAACAGGAGTCACCCCATCTACTCCACTCATCATAGATGGTGGGAGCTTGGGCAAGTGGTCGAACCCAATTGCTAGCTTCAACATAGGGAGGGCACACGTATCCTAAGATTCTTTGTACCATAGGAAGATATGTTGGTCATAAATCTAACGGAGAAGTACTGAAATTACAGTCCCCCATAGTCTATTAGTAGCCCCCCCCCTCTATAAACTGCATTTTGTTTATGAATTTGGCATCAATCCACGGCCAGGATTCATCCCACTTATACGATGGGGCTAAGAATTCTGAGGTGGGTTGAACAGTCATTCCCCCTAAATCTAAACAGTCCCCATAGGGTTCTAACGGAATTCAAAGTGCAAGACACTAAACTCAATATCACTATCATTCCCACTTCCTCTTTGCCAATAAAGCAACCCATCATTTCGAAAGCCCCCCTTGTAAATCAGGGAGTTGGGGTTGAATGTATTTTTTCCAACATTTTGAACATTCAGGTTGCATTTGGAAATGTTGTAAATAGAGTGTAAATGTCGGTTCAGTGTGAATGTGTACTCTAGTTTAGTTCTTCTAGTGTTTGGCAAGAATGTATTTATGCATTGGTAATGACAAAAAGAAATACAATTTTTAAGACATGTTTATATTGAAAGTGAGATGTAATTTTACAGCCAAAAAGAAAAGTAAATTTGCATTCAAAGTGTGCTTTTGTTAAAAAAGATATATTACTTTATTGGGATTAGAATCCATTACAACCAAAAGTTGTTTGGTAAGAATGTAAATTTGTCAATACAAAATTAATCCAACTTTACATTTGCATGGACCAAAATGCAATGTGTATATTTATATTTAAACTTTACTAGCTAGAGAACATACCAATTAAGCCACCATCAATTAGTTCTCATACTATGTAGTTAACTTTTGTGTTTCTTATAAAATATTAGCTATATAGAAAGGGAAAAAATTGGAAAACTCAATAACTAATAAAAAAATGAAAAAAAAGCTACTATTTTATCTGTAAAAAACTCAATTTATATAAAAACTTTGGTGAATCGTTGTTACTTTTTTTCCCTTAAAATATACATTTTTAAACAGTAGCCTATGTATCACATAGGTCACAGGTAGTATGATTAATATACATTAGAGATGTGCCTAATCTTTCTATATTTGTTATTTATTTATATTTTAAAAGTTTTTTATTTAATTATGCATCATGGATTAGTCCACTTAGCCTGGATGGTTCAGTTGCTTACTCACCACCATGATGAAAAAACAATTCGATTAAATAGGGAGAAATGTAGTAGTTCAAATAACATTTTGTGCCCTCACAATTAGAGGATCAAATTCAAAAATAGGGATATTCTAGTCAAGAAAAGGATTCAATGAATATGTTAACGGGAGTTAATAGGTTTAAATATGAGACTTAACGAGAGAGATTTGAATAAGGAGAAAAGTGGCTTTTAAAATTACAATTCTGTCCTTAAAATTAGACAAAGACCAAATTAAAAAATTAGGATAATTTAGTTAAATAAAAGTTCCACACCATTATTCACACTTTTAATAATAGTATAAATTTGTATCGTTTCCAAACGCAACCTCAAGGGTAAAATTGATATCATAAGAATATTTGGAGTGAGCTGTTAAGGGATCTCTAAACGGTGTAATGATGGAGATCTTATTTATGTTATGTGTGGCATGATCAGCAAAACATGTAAGTTATTTTTAAAGTTAAGGATATATATAAGTAATTTCTCAAATGGACATACTATGTATAAGTAATTATTATTATTTTTTTAATTATAAGTCGAAGTATAGGCCTGACATTGATTGCAAAGAAGTCCTATAGACTCAAAGAGAACAAGAGAAAGGGCACAGAGATATATATACGAAATGAAGAAGCTGATATGAATTATGATCTTGGGGCCAATCTTTTGACAGAAGAAGACATAGCTTTTGTAGAGTGCAATTTGTGTGAGGAGGGGGGGGCTTGTTGAGTTGAGTTGAAACTAGCAGCTGCCTCAAAGATAATTTAAGCAAGACGAGTCAAAAATAATTCTCATTGATTTACAATCTAATAAATATACATGAGTGTCAGAATCGTGTAGGGCTTTTATCTACACAAGATAGTTACAGCTAGTGGTAACACAACAACATTATCTCTTTCTGTGATTGCCCAATTGCTACTTAAGGTGAGAGAGTCTCCAACACTCAAAACAGCCAGTCATCACATAACCCTCCTAAATAATAACTGAGTTTCAACTAAAAAAGGGTTTTCTGTTGAATCTTCTTTTAGGATGTATTTGGTTTGGAGGAAAAGATGGGGAAATCTATAACAGCCTTATGCTGTGTTTGGTTTAAAGGAGAAGATAGGGAAACGAAGGGAAGCAAAGAGAAACCTGTGCAAATCTTGTATAGGTTTTCCTATATTTCCTTTTTTTTTTCTTACCTTTTCCTTCAAACCAAACATAACCTTAATGTTTGACAAAGCTCGTACTAGGGGTGAGTATTCGATTTATTCGGTTAAAAATCGAACTGAATAAATCGAAATTTTTAAAACCGAAATAAAAAAATGAAAATCAAACCAAAACCGAAATTTTCAGTTTAGTTTTCGATTAAAAACCGAATTTAATTAATATACAATATTATATATTATAACCTATAATATATATTATGAAATTTAATTTCATTATAATACATTATATATAACATATTAATATATAAATATATAGCATATTATATATTATATAATGAATTTTAGTTAATTCAGTTTTTTCGGTTAACCGAATTTCTAAATATGAAAACCAAAGCCAAAAACTGAAATTGCTAAAAATCAAACTAACCAAACCGAATTACCCAAAAACTAAAAAAATCAAAACCAAAATTTTCAGTTCAGTAATTCGGTTTTAACCGAATAATGTTCAAACCGAATAAGGTACAAGTTTTCAGTCCTCTTCCTATAAACCAAACACGACCTTAGAAGGCTTTGGCCTTACCTGAGTTGAGAAGGCTGGAATGCCGTGAAGCCAGGTTTCTTAAAAAAAAAAACTGAAGAGCCAAACTTATATGAACTGTAACATCAACTTTTCCATGGAGCTATCTCCGGTAGCTTCTCTGAAACGGTTCAGTAAACGCAGCTCAACCAACACGGAAACCCTCCCAAATTGACCCGTAGTACTAATTTGGGAAGGCTTTTACACAGCAGCTTCTGACTTTGCGAGGTGAGTCTCACACGAACAGGTATGCTATGTTTGATGAAACACCACAAAAACACCGTCACTCAGCCAAGGATGTCAATACTACACAACCCACACGGAAGATCGCAATTCAATTATGAATTTGCCGTAGGGGAGGTGTTATTGTTCTTTTGAAGAAATTTGTTGACGTAAGTAAACGGCCATCGCTGTATTATTTCTGTGAAGTTGTGTTTAGTGAAAAACCTGGAAAGCCAGAAATATATGCTTATATGAACCGAGAAGTAAGCTTCCAGTGAAGCTGTTTCTGGTATCTCCGCCGAGCCCGAAGTGATTCAGTCAATGCGGCTCAGTTAATGCTGAAATCCTCCCATACGGGTTCTGATTACTGTGTTTGAATATTTTATTATTTAATTATTTTATCTACTAGAAGGTAACGAGTCATTCAGTTCAGCAATTTTAGCTGCTATCAATTAGAACCTTATTGTTATTATTTAATGCTAAAAATGGAAACAAGAAGAAAAACAAAATATGAAGAAAAAAGGAGAATAAACATAAACCTAACCCCAGTCTAAACTAAATTAAATTTTTTTTTTTGTAGAAATTATTAAAAATCATAGGGAGAGCATGTAATCATCTCCCTACTATAATATGTTGTTATCGTTGAAACATTGAAGGTTCCTTTTTTTCTCTGTCCTTTTATCCTTTTTTATTCTTTTTCCTTTTCTGATTTCAACTCAGGTAAGAGCTTTGTGAACAGGGGCATTGCCCCATTGGTCTAAGAAGGTTGAAGTAGGAGAGAATGTCATAGATTTTAACTTTGAAGCAACTGGCCGCACCCTGAAAGGCAGGAAAATTAAAAGTTGTATTAAAACAATGCATAAAAAATTAAAGTTTTATTGACAAGATATAAAAAAAAATGGTGAGACAAAAACATGTATCCGTACAAGCATTGGTTAATTAGGATGGAAAAAATTACAGGAAAAGAAAAAAAAAATCAGTATTTGCTGAATGTAAAGGAAGCTGGTTGAATTATCTAATTAAAGGCTCCAAGGCTTGAATGTGTGATAGTTCTCAAAGTATACAGTATATGAGATACTTCTTGCATGTTTGGCCGAGTCTGAGACCACGATGAAACAGTACACTCTTTGACAAGTCATTTGCACATTTACATGAAATTTACTGCAACATTGAGTTGCCTTCATACTTCTCTAACCATCTCATCCTCTTGGAAATTCACAAGCAACAGTAATCGTTTTCAATGATCTCCACTTCTCCAGCTATATTGGCTGAAAAAATCTGAACTGTAATCTTGACTACCAAAAGCCATCCTCTGAAACATTCTTATTTCTCTAGACTGTTCTCTAGAATCAAATACTTCACTTTGGCCTGGTTTGATTCCATTGCTAAGATCTGATGGGTCCCCTATAGTGTCTAAGGCTCTTATCACCTGAGAAAAAATATATATCTCTAGTCAATTTTGTTTATAGCCCCACCTAAACACTTGTGCAAGGAGACAAGGAGAGAAGAAGTAACCAAAAATTTCTGTCAATTGGGTAACTGATAATTCATTACCTGCCCCATTCTAGGTCTCTTTGCAGCCGAGTGACGCACACATGCTGCAGCTGCCTCAATCATCCTAAACATCTCATTTCCTACGTAGTTCTTTCCAAGCCTTGGATCTATCAACTCTTCAAATTCTTCATTATCAAGTGCTTGAGTAAGCAATGGTCGAGCCTGAAAGATAAGCAGGCAGTTTGGTTAGGCTGTTTCTTTATGTATACACAGGAATCTGATCCCTTTCATAAAGCAATAACCTTCTGTTGCAGCATAATAAATATAATCTTCTTTATCAAAAATGGAGGAACTTCCCAGATGTGATTTATGGCAATATCAAAGAAATATCGAATGGCACAAATACTAGCTTCAAAAAAATGAAAAAATTTGACATTTATAAATGTAAAATAGAAAACCTTGCGTTCAAAAGAATTTGGAATTGAGGGACCAAAGGCTGACATCTCAAGAAAAAAAAAAAAAAAAAAGATATAATCTTCTTACAATGTTAACCCCTGGTGCAATCCCCTCCCCCACCCACCACCAGTTTGTTCCTTGTTACCCCTTACTAGAGCATCTGCAATTTTATTGCCAATCTTGGTATTAAAAAAGTAAAATTTCCAGGTTTGATGACTATGTATTTGCCTTTTAAGCAACAATTTATGGGACCATGGACCTCATGCTCTTGTCAAAGCCAGCCAATCACCATTTGGCAGTCCATCCACCATCAGTCAACTAAAACATGATGAGTAGGTTAGTCTTAGTTTTTGAAGAAGAGCAAGAATTTCAAACCTCAAAGATATTCTTTGATTCTTTCATTGGCTGATCCCATGAAATTAAGGATATTGTCAATATGATCTCTAAAAAAACCACATATGCCAGAAAGGCCTAGGTTATTAAGGGTCTCTAGTGCTATCCATGCTTTTGCTTCTGGAGCCACCACTGCTTTTGCTTCATGAAAGTACTGGTTAGATATGTTATTCCATCTTTGTGTATGATGGCATGGTTTGATTCTCATCCGCCTCCCCTTGTTTCTCCTTGTCAATCTTTGAGACATTGCTCCAATCCCATGAAATTATCTGAAATAAACAACGTAAAACAATGAATGACCAGACAGAAATTTCATTGGGGTATACTAGATGGGTGAATTGACTGTAATTCAATCTGGAATTTATGTATATCATGTCCGGATGCCTGTTTTCCTTCCTTTTGTCCTTTAGATTTAGAGGAAGTTTTTGTCAGTCTATATACCATTACACTCTCAATAAAATTTACATCTCTGTTGTTGATAGAAGAAAGAGGGGACTTCAGCTCAAACAGAGTCCCTTGTCCCAATAGGTCCATAGAACATTAGTCTAAATCTCCATCCTACCCTCTAAATGTTTCTACCACCAATAATACTAACTTGATTACCACAGCTAGCAGACCAGACGCATCCAAACCATTAAATAGTGGAAAGTAAATAAGAAACTACAACTGAATTGCTCACATATGCTATCTGACCAATGAAACCCATGAAAAGTTCCATGACAGCTACAACCATAACCATGAAAATGAGGACCTTATGGCTAATTCAGCAACACCAGTAAATATCCTTTAAATAATTAAAAATTGATTTCCTCCCCTTACCAGACAAAACACAGCAACCTGAAATTCCAATGCTTGTCAATTGCTGATTAAGATTTGTCAATATACTGGCAGAGTTGCTGATAATATTCCAACCTATGCTCCATGCCATCAAATATAGTTTGTTTTGGTGTATCCTCATTTTTTTTATTTGTTTCATAATTGTAGTATGGGAAATTTAGACTCATAAAGGAAAAATACAGAAGAAATTTTCTATATACAAGGAACTAAGGATTACCGATCTTGTCAATTCCCCAAGCTTGACAGCTTTAGTGCTATATTTTTATCCCTTCTTGGGTCCAACCAACATTCCCAAAGCCCAGAAAACAATATTGCTGGAGTTATTCTCGATGAAAAGATGGCTGTCAAAGCAGCTTTGGAATTTCTTTGAACCATATAATAAGAGCTTTCATTTCTCCATAGCGGAATCCCTTTTACCAACTGTGCCAAAGTCTCGTTTCAGAATAGACATATAATACTGGTCAACCCTGGTACAAATGGAACATCCATCAAAACTAAGATGGATCTTTCATAACTTCAGCTTCATCCATCATGTCATGACCCCTTTCTTGAGATATATACTTTCACCAATTTTTTTTAGTTATTGCACCAATGAAAGCATTCAAAGCCTCAATTGCTTTCATGCAACTCTCATTACTACAAAGGACTTCCACAAATTAGATTCCATCAAAATTCAGATAGGTTTTGCCTATATTCATTCAAGAACAACCATCTCTTGGACATCATGAAATTGAAAGACATGAAACTCCAATATTGGGACCTAATTAATGCCTTCATGCCTTTCATGCACAACATTGGCAAAGGTAGATTCACTCTATTTACGCTGTTGTTGGAAGATCCCTTATAATTATTTCTCCCAAATCACACAACTAAGTGCAAAATGGAACAACATCATCTAGGGCTCCTATGCCAATGAACAAATGAAACAAAAACACATTCCAGTTAGAGAAGACTATGGTTAGAATTGGTCTCTGCCATCAAAGGACATGAGCTACATAAAATCCTCTTCAACTGATCTGTTCTGTACAAGTCCTATCTTCTAAAGAATGAATCAACAAAAGTGACACTCTTATAACAGCTTAGGAGCTCAGAAAATTTTGCCAAATAATATGTGATAAGTAGACTTAACACCAACCATCCCTACTGCTACTGGGCTACATTCTATAAACTACACAAAGTAGCTCAAATTTGTTCAAGTATTTTCAAGCATCTCTTCCTTTTTGTATCTCATCCTTTTTCTCTTTATTTTTCAATGTTTTCTTCATCTAGTTGATTCTGATTGCTCCAATCCATACCACACCCAACCTATTTCCAATTCCAAGTAGAAAAGCTTACCCATTCAACTAGACTCTCATCTCCCAAGGGTTGAGATGCATCCACAGGTTTTCGACCAGTAATCAGCTCAAGAAGCACAACTCCAAAAGAGTACATATCTGACTTTTCAGTCAATTTTCCACTTGATGCATACTCTGGTGCCATGTATCTGGAAAACCAACAAATGCCACTTGTCAGAAGTCTATCAACATGAACCAGAATATACACATACCAGATGTAAACATAAACCTTAATTGCAGCACACACACATTCACTTTTAAGTGGAACAATTAGAATGTGCCAAGAAATATCAAAATAACAATACTAACAACAAGTACATAGCTGCCTACCCGAAGGTTCCCATCACACGTGTGGTCACATGGGTGTATGTGTCCAGAGCTAACTTTGCAAGCCCAAAATCTGAAACCTACCAATACGAGAAATACAAGAATACAAAAAGCATTAATGACAGTCAAAGAGAATTGTGATGAAATAATTCTGTAAAAGGAAAAAAAAAAAGTGGCATACCCGAGCTTCAAAATTGTTATCTAAAAGAATGTTTGATGACTTAATATCCCTGTGAATAATCCGTGGATGGCCTGACAAAGACAGATGTGATGAACAAAATTAAATTTATGAGAAAACATAGTCAATTATTTTAAGAAATTGTTGTGTCAACAACCTAATGTTAGATTTATTATTATTTTTATCCTATCTATGTAAAACTTTTAAGTTTCAATGTATCTACTTTGTCTTGATCTAGGTATTTGGTTATTCATAACCATTTCGATGCACAACTTAAATAATACTTGTTTTTAAGATATAACCTTATGCAAGCCCAGGGCACCCAGACGGAGGAGGGCAATATAGCATTATCAGGTGTATCCCCACAAACACCCTTCCTGCAAGTCTTAGAACAGAGGAGATGGAGGTTCAATCTGAGCCTCTAGTACCTACAACCAGAGATTTTACCAATTGAACCAAGTGGCATAAGGCTTGTTTAGCTGAACAGTGCATATTACCTCATAAAGAAATAAAGAAGCCCATATCTAAGGAAACTGAGCCTCAGTTATTTATTTATTTATTTATTTTTTAAATCAGCCTGTGCCTCAGTTTTTTGAGTATCCATATCCAAAGTTTTACCAAGACTCCTCATAAGCAAGGGTTCTAGTTGTACCAACATTCAGTTGTCATACAGGTGGTGCCTCAAGCTGAATTAAGCAAGCACTTGTTTAGAGAAAGTGTCATGGGAAAAGAAATATCAAAGGCTCCAAAACTTTGATTTTCAAGTTATTTCCTTTGGTATATATGTAATGATTTATTTTTGCTACATCCAAGTTGTGTTATTTCCAGAGGTTGGAAACCTTGACACTTGGCATCATTCTACTTAGGCTGTCAATTCATCTTGCCTGAATGAGTTGAGAACATTTTGGGGTGGGCTTGTAGTAGAAGGCCAAGCACAAGTTCAGCTTAAGTAGCCAATAGAGCCTGAATAAAGATAAATATGATATCTGCTTATTTTCTCTTATGGGCATGTATTTTACATAGTTTAGTAAGTACAACCAATGCAGATGTTTTAATTATTTTGTGAAGTCCCATTTAATGGCCACTTGTTCCTGGGCCTTCAATTCTTGGCATCATAAGATTCCAAAATCTGGGCTTTAACGGACCCAACATTGAAAATGATTTAGATGTGCTGAACCATGCCAGAGTCTGACATTACCATGGCAAGCTGAGCGTGGGCTCAGCACATTATGCTCATTTATAAGCATCAGCCCAATCAAAAGTTTGTAAGTCCCAGCCAAGCTGGGCAAAGATGTATTTGGATCTCCTACACTTTCTTTCCTTAACTTTTTCCTGCACCTCCATTCAGTCTGTGACATGTGTAAATACCCATATGTATGAAAACGCACATGTGTCTTTAGTTGCTAATTTGATAAGAAATTCTTCTATTAAATGCTTATTATATTAGCATTATTGTTAAAATATTGAAATTAATATTATTTAAATGTTATTATCTTTTAGGTATGATGATTTTCCATGTTCTTAAAAACAGAATTGCTATTTTTTTTTCAATTAATATGATTGTTGCTTGTATATAGAACTGGGGGACCAACTAAAATTTAGTTTTTTATTTTACAAAATTCTCATCACCTAGGTGACGCCTAGGCATCTAGGCACCCCACCATCCCCAAAATCGCCTACATACCTTGGCAACTATGATCATGCATCAATTTATCAAGCTGACCTCAATAATGTGACAAGTGTGGTGATAAAATGCAAAAGGAAAATAAACAGCTAAATCCAAAATAAAAGAATGATAATTACAGTCTTCATGCAGGTAAGCTATTCCACGAGCTGCACCAGCAGCAACCTTAATTCGGGTCGCCCAATCCATAATTGGCCTACCTTCCCCTACAAATTTCAGAACACAACATAGGAAACTGATCAACTCTTGCTTGTGAATTAGTCCAAGAAAGCTAAATGGCAAACTTACCATGAAGATGGTAGTGAAGAGTTTTGTTTGGGACATAATCATAAACGAGCAACCTCTGACTTTCTGATATGCAGTAGCCTACCAGTGAAACTAAATGACGATGGTGTACACGGCTAATAATTTCGACTTCAGCTCTGAATTCACGCTCCCCCTGTGCACCACCAATTTTGAGCTGTTTTACAGCCACCTCCCTACCATCTGTTAGGCATCCTTTGTACACACAACCAAATCCACCTTCACCCAAAAGATTCTGTGCGGAAAACCCATTTGTGGCTTCTACTAGTTCTGCATATGTGAACCATGACTTTGAATTGCCCAAGCCACCAGGCTCTGATGGTGAATATATGAAATCACTGCTAGAGCCACTTCCTACTCGCAGAGCTGAAGAGTGGGCCTTTATAAAGGAAGCATCTGAATTCATTTACATGGCATTCAAATGAACAAAAAAGTTAACTCAAGTAGAGTTTACAAGCTTATCAAGAACGATATCATCCAACATCCAACCTCTGTTTTCTTTTTTTTTTTTTAACTAGAAAAGATCCAGAAACTACCATCCAATTGTATGGGCCATATAATTTTATTCTATAAATATGTATTTTAACCAGATTTTGGTAGATGGAAGGGTTCATATTCCAAATAACTATATTGGGCAAGCTTTGCATCTAAAAATAATTTAAAGAGAAGAATCCATTTAGTAACTAATAAGCATAGCTAAAAAATAGCACCCAAATTTTGAAAAGTTTGGCATCGGTTATCTATGATGAGATAATAACTTGTATTAGCAACAGTTAAATGTTTAAATCATTACCCGACTTCTGGGAAGAGGGTGCCGGGGAAGGCATGACATAGCCACCATTGTATCTAACGCCTTTCTTCTTCTGCTTCCTGACGCGCCAGATAGCCATTCCTATCAGAGCAAGAACTACAAGGCCTGTTACAACACTAATTGCCGCTACAGCTCCAGTTCTATGTCCCCCATTGTTAGATGTGTTGTTTGCTGTAATGTTTTCATTAGAACCCACTGAAGGAGGTGGGGGACTTTGGGGAGTTGATGGACTTTGAGGAGGAGGAGCAAGATTAGAAGCAGGAGCAGGCGGTAAGAGAATTGGAGGTGGGGTGGCAACTGGTTGCCCACTAGGTGCCGATGGTGATGGAAATGAAGGTGGGGGAGTTGGGGACGGTGGAGGCGCCGATTGAGAACCAGATGGTGCAGGTTTATGCGTGTGAGATGGGCGCGGAGGTGGAGAACTAGCAGGACGTTTTGCTGATGGCGCTGGGGGAGAATTGGAGGGCGATGAGGATGGATCAGTGACAGGAGTAGGAGAGACTGGTTGAGGTGGAGGAGGTGATGCTGGAGGTGGAGGAGAACCTGCAGGAGGCGTAGAGGGAGTGACAGCAGGAAGTGGAGGGGGCACTACCGGAGGGGGTGGTGAAGGCACCGGAGGTGGAGGAGAAAGAGGAGGGGATGGTGGTGGGGCGACTACAGGAGGAGGAGGGGTGGTAGGTGGTGCTGGAGGGGGAGCGGTAGGTGGTGCCGATGGGAGCGACGGTGTTACTGGACGAGGAGCAGCAGGAACAGGCGGAGGGGATTGAGGTGGTGGGGATGGAGGAGAAGGGCTTGTGGACGGAGGTGAACCCGTAGTATCAGTGGGTTGAGGCACTGAGGGAGGTGGTGAAACCGTTGAAGAGGAAGGTGGTGGACTAGTTTTTGAAGCTGTAGGAACTGCAGCAGCAGGAGGAGAATTTGGAGCAGGCGACGCCATTCCGGCTGTTACTTCCTTCTCCAGTCAAGAGATCCAAATTCAGAATCCCCCACTCAAACAAAAAAAAGGCAAATTCAGCTCGCCAAAATCTCAAACTTACTGAGAAGTTCATAAACCGCCGAGGTGTCCAGAGCAACACTCAATATTTGAATAGCATTTTAGTGATCAATGCCGTCTGTTTTGCAAATTTTTAAATCTCCAAACTCTCAACGTCAGATTTCTCAAACGGCAAAAAAGTTCACTAATCAAAACCCCATATCTACAAACGCTTCAGACTTCTTGAGACTTTTACAGTCCAGTAAGCAAAATCCCGATCACAAAAGCCTTTGTGATAAAAAAAAAAAAAAAAACCCACTTCACCATATACCTTTCTGAGTAAAATCAAGCCCACCCAAATTTAAAAACAAGCTTCAAAGAGCAAATGCGGTATACCGAGGTGATCCAAATGGATACAGATAAAAAACCTTAGATGCTTAAATCCCAAAATTCTTACCTATCTCTATACATCTCTCTTACTTGTTCAGCGGTTTGGTCATCACCAAAGATTTGAATTTTCGAACCTTCTCTGTAGAGAGATTGTGAATCCCAGTGGATTCACCACGAAGCTTCTCAATCACAAAGAAAGATTCAAAACTCAATGAGGTACACGAAAATGAAAGGGAGTCTATTAAATCCAAAGCAACAACGCGCGTGAGAGCGACTTCAGAATAATTTTTTTTTTTCTTTCCCACTCATTAGACAGACAGAGAGAAAAGGATACTAAAATCATCATCACATCATGATCATAACAAATAGAAATGTGTTGGTTGGCAGCATTTCATCTCTTAATCAAACCCAATCAAATATAAAAACACGAAAAGTCAAAGAAAAACCGTGGCGTTCCTGTTCGATTGTGCGCTCAAGAACAAAAAACAATTTTTTTTTTTAATTTGTAATAAAACCCAATAGAGCCATAATTCCCCACCTCCCTCAGCTGCTGCTTTGTTCTAATCTTCTCTGTTTATTGATAAACAAATCAATAATTACTGTAATTCTTCTGAGCGCATTATGGACATTTTCGTTTTAGAGCCACGAGTTTGACTGAAATTTTTTAAGTTGGATTCTACTTGGTTAGTAGCGTTTCGGCTTTTTTATTCTATTTTTCTGCAGGGAGTTTATTAATTATTATTCGTCGTTGCATCCGATGACAAGCTGTGAAATTCCACGTATTGATTACTGTAAAATTCGAGTTTGCATTTAACGAATGGTAGTACCGTAGAAGCAGAGAGAGAGAGAGAAGTCAGAGACGCGTAATCTTTGTTCAAAAATCTATTCAAGTTTGTTGAACTGTTATTCAATGCGGATTCAGTATAGCGCTTTATTTGATCAGTTCTTCTACTTGTTATGATCCGATGGTGACCATTTGGTGTGACCCAGACGCAAGAGATGTCCCATATGTCAATGGCAAAAACACAAAATAAGCCATTGCCAAAACCAAACCGATCGGTTCGATTAATTCTCCGACTTGAAAACGTTGGTGTGAAAAGAGATTACCCGTGGGCCATAGCGACTCATGACCCAACTTAACCCGTCAGGTTGGATCGATTGTTTGTCGGGTCTAATTAAAATAAGAGAGAATGACCGTTAAGCACATCCTAACAATTCTTAGCCCCACAATACAGTAAGAATAAGTGTCAGCTCAGAATTGATGATAATACATAGGAGGGTATTCGTATTTTAGGGTCGCTCAGAATTGATGCTAATACATGGGAGGGTATTCGTATTTTAGGGTGGGGGTATTTGTCAATTTAAATTGTATAAAATTGTAGTGGAATTCAGAATTCTGTAGTATGGTGTAGTGCATTTTTCTGAAAAATTAATTCAATCTTAAGGGAAAATCTATGATAGTTGAATCCTAATCTTAAACCTATTACTAGGAAGTTCCAACCCAATAACTAGAGGTGATCATGAGTTGGGACTCGCCTTGATTCTGGAACTAAGACTTTTATGTATAAAGCATTAAATATACTATCAGGGACCCGTGCGATGCATGGGTTTTATTAAGCAAAAGAAATGATAATAACCCACTAGACGACCTGTTTTAAGAACTCTTGAATCAAGTTGTTATGCGCACCCAGAAGATAGAAAACAAGCTATAGTTGATCAGATTAAACTAAGTTCTTAAAGACCCCAATCTTGAAGATGCCACAAAGGTTGATCACTCCCTTGATAAGTCAAGATATTGTATTCTACCAAGAACACAAGAAGGCAAAGCTAAGCTTGCTGAAAATACCTCTGTATTATTCATGATTTCGTTTTACATAGATGTGGCTTTTATATAGGCATGTAAACATCATTATCTTATAAGGAAACTCCTGATTTTATAAGGAAACTCCTAACTAATGATTATCTTATCAGGAAACACCTAACTGATGAGGATCCTTTAATTTAGGAAAATAAATCTGCTTTGAAATAGGAATCCTTCTAAAAGACTACAACTAATGACAACTAAACATAGAAAAAGTCAAAGTAAACAAAACAAGATAAAAACAAGCCCATCAATACAACTTTGCATGCGAATTGGGCATTTTCTTATCATGTCCATGCGCCAAGCCCATCAAGTTTTGTTCTTCAAGTTCTAAGCCTTGCACATAAAGATATGTAATTATCCTTGGTGAAGCTTTGGAAACTGGTAGAACAGTCTTAGAATCTTCTAAAAGAGCCTCTTTGTCATGCACTTCCCTGATGAAGCATTGTAGAGCCTCTTTCATCCTCTTTGTCCTTGCCCTAGTCATTGGCCCACCGATTCCTTGCAAAGGATCTTGAGAATATTTGGGAATATTAGCTTGAGCCATTTGGCTAGCACCTCAATCTCCATTAGAAAGCTAAACAATAGAAATACATAAGAGTATTTAATTGTTTTATATTTTAATTTCAACTTTTTAATAATCAAATATATGAAATTCGACCAGAGTTAGTTAGTTTTCTAGTATTTTCGATTGACTTTATTTCAAAATTTTCCAACCTGACCAAGTTAGGTCAGTTTTGGTTTGGTCATTTGTAAATCGACTAAAATTGAATCAACCCGACTATATATATATATATATATATATATATATATATATATATATATATATATATATATATATATATATATATNTATATATATATATGTTTGAAATATAATTTTTAATATAGAAAAGTGGGAAATTTCCCATATTTCCTAATCTAAAATATTTTATATCATAAATTTAATTTTTTTAATAATATCACTATAATTTATTAAATTTAAATTTAATTTGAAAGTTTAAATCTTTTGAACAAACAAACCAAACCGAAAATAGACACAAACTGATACAACCCGAGTTGGCGGGCTTTCACTGATGGTTAGTCGGTTTTCAAGTGACAAACTCCCAACTTGACCAAGTCTACTTGGTTAGCAAAACAGCTTGCAACCAAATTGAACTAATCCTTGAACACTCCTAATTTCAGCTAAATTAATAGTCTAATTTCTAATAAATAACAATAGTTTAATATCCAATAATTATTGAAAATTTAAACCAAAAATACGCAATTATAGAAAATAAATTTATAATGAAAATACAAATAGATAACTAATAAAAATACAATAATTACAAAAATACAATAAATACTAAAAATATATTAAATTAGTCAATAAATAGTGTAACCTCAAATTATAGCTTAATCTCTAATAAAAATTAATCAATAAATTATTAAATTATATGAAATACATAATTACTAAAAATTTATAAAAAATATAATAAATTAAATTTCAAAAGTTAAATAATATTTGTTTAATATCCAATAATTATTGATAATTTTCTGTTAAATAACAAAACAAAAATAGATTTATAAATAATTATTGAAAATATATTTATCAAAAACTACAATAAGTAATTCCCGAAAATGCAATAAATATTAATTTTAGTATATATATAAATATATAATGAATATACACTATTATTGTGAAATTATTACTAATAAATATTAAATTTTTTGAAAGTTATTTTCTATAATTATTAATTGATATAAGTGAAATTAGTTATTTAAATAATATTGTTATTTATATTTTAAAATATTAATTATTTATTGAATTTAATAATCCATAAAATTATATTTAGTACTATTATTACATAATTCGTTATTAATTTTGTTAAATATTAAATTATCATTAATATGTATTATGAAATCTTTTATAATTATTTTTCTACATTTAAGAAGCTTTTTAAATTTATTACATAATTTCTCTATTTTAACAATTTAAAATTTAGTCATGTTAAATATTTTGTTATTTAAATATTTAATTTTTTTCATTATTTTAATTTTATTTATTTTAATGTTATTACGTAATATTAAATATTTTGTTATATAATTATTTAGCTATTTTTATGTTCTGTTATTTAAGATATTTAGTTATGTAAATATGTAAATAATGTTTTATTTTTGAATGTTAAATTTTTATTATTTGAATAACACTTAAATTGAATAATTCATAAAATTATAATTTTTATTGTTACTATACAATTTCATGATGAATTTTGTAAAAAATAGAACAATTGATAATATGAATATTATTAAATCTATTATAATTAATTTTGTGTTTTGAACAAATATTTTAAAGTTAGTATATAATTTCATTATAATATTTAAATAAATCTAAAATTTATTAATTGAAACTTTCTTTATATAGATGTAGATAAAAGGTGGGGGAGAAGATAAATAGGAATTAGAGATTGTTTAGGTGAGAAACTCTCTACTAAATTATTAGAAACAATTTAAGAAATAAATAGAAGTTAGAGATAATTTAGGGGGTTCGACTATGATATGGAAAAAATATGATATCTGAAAAACTTCTGACCAGTCAATTCGAATCACAACTTGGTAGCCAACCAGGTGTTATTTATCAAAATTCATGGGTGGGGTTTGATTGGTCAAAACTCTTCTCATACCATGCCTTTCCCGCATCATAGATTTTCCCCAATTTAGGACATAAATAGGAATTAGAGACAATTTAGGAGAAAGTAGGGGAAAGTGGTGCCACTTGGCTAAACATTAGAAGAGCAAATCCCTCTTTCTTTATGATTGTTAGAAATAGCTAAGCCCATGTTATTTCCTTATTGGTTTAATGGGTGATTATGTGAAGTTAAAAAAATAAAAATTTCTAAAAAACAGGAAATTAGAAATGGGGGTTTGGAGAAAGAAGGGGCATGGTAACCTCTTGCTATATATATATATCAAGAATTAAAAATAATCAAAAGAAAGTGTTAGTTTATATAAAAATATAAAATATGTCATAAAATAATCAGGCCCAGACCGAGCCTAAATACAAACCTAGGCCCAGAATTTCCGGGGTGGGCCGAAAATTATCACCCCTACAGATAACCAACCTTAGGAACCATGCTTGAAAACTGTACCAGACATCCGCATAGTTCATGGTAACAAACCAACAGCTCAAAAAACAGTTGAACCTGAAAGTCTTCCGTTCATTGTCTCATACAAAGAATGAAAATTTTGAGCAATGTGGTCTTAGGGCTGTAGCCCATGAAAAAACTGGCCCACCAAATGATAAATGGAGATTAAGTGGGCTATTTGTATGGACCACAACTTGATTTTTAATTTCTTAGAGCTCACTCCAGAATAAACTAAAAAAAAAACTTCTTGTTTCATAAGAATGAGATATATTTGAGTGAGTGTGTTGACCTTTCTTTTTCATCTATTAGTGGACTACTAAAATTACAAGTTGGTCGGTGGAGGGAGCGAGTATTTTTCAGCAAGAATCCTGTTCATAGACAACAAGTACCGTCTGGTAACAAGACAGTGTCC